GTGTTCATATCAGCTGTAGTTTTGGAACTAGAGGTGACACACCTTAAATCCTTTATTTTGCAGCAAAAAGAGCAGAAATATGTTAGACTGTTAACGGGTTTAAAAAAATGGAACCCATGTGACAACTATGAAGCTTAAACAGCTCAAAGAAGAAATGTGAGCAATACATTAAGCTCTTCTGGGTTTCTTAGAAGCCATAGGCGAGACTAAAGCTCTTCACCACCACCACCCCGCCTTCCATTATACTTTGCAACAAGATACGTTGGGTCTTGTGCAATAAAGTACATGATGGCTAAAGGTTCTGTTTTCCTCTGTTTATGACACACCCCAAGTTTATAGACATTGCACAAAGACTACACTCCCACCTACTTTGGTTTTACTACTTCATTACCTACATGGAAAAATATGAATCCCAGGAGCTCAAAACATTTTTATTGTAAGTCTATAAGTAACAAGGGAAGGGAAGGAAACAGGTATGCTAGTCAAAAACAGATACTAAAAAAGCATACAAACAATTCTAAATCTATTTCAAAGCACTTAGGTTTAAGCACTGAGAACAGTCAACCAGCTCAGGGCAGCTTACAAAGGAATAAAAACAACAAATAGACAATTTTAATGATCCTAAAACCATATAAAACAATCCAACATTAAAAGGTGCTAACATTATAATGCTAATAATTATTTATTTATTTATTTATTTTTCATATTTATATCCCGCCCTCCCCAATGGGCTCAGGGCAGCTCACAAGGGCATTAATCAAATGATTAACTGAATTAAAAGAATTAAAAGATGGTGTCTGACCTTCAGTACCCTATCCTAGCGGTCACCCATAGATCTGATCTTTAAGCCACTGGCACAGGCTGTTCTGATGTCTTCAGGGAGCAGGGTTCTTCATCGGGGGCAGCTCCTAATCGAAAGCCTGGTGGAAGAGCTCCGTCTTGCAGGCCCTGCGGAACTGCATAAGGTCCTGCAGGGCCCTGATCTCTTCTGGGAGCTCATTTCACCAGAGAGGAGCTGCCACCGAGAAAGCCCTGGCCCTGGTTATAGCCAGCCTGGCATCCTTGGGTCCGGGGAGGGTAAATCAGACTCACCAGTTTACACACCTATGCCAACTCTTTAAGCTAAAAGGGTAGGTTCCAGTTTTAACTGCAATAGATAAATTAGGATTTCCCTGGGTTAAGAGCACAGTAATTGCCATTCGTGGGATATGCATAGGAGGGTTGGGTTTTTTGCTTTGTTTCTGCCATCAAGTCACAGCTGACTTATGGCAACACCTGGTGGGTCTTTCAAGGTAAGAGACATTCAGAGGTGGTTTGCCAATGCCTGCCTCCACATCACATAATCCTGGTATTCCTTTTTGGGCAGGAACGCACAGGAACGGAGTTCTGGCTGGCTCCCATGTTGGCCACACCCAGCAGAAACACATTAGCATAATAGGCCACACCCAACAGCAGAAACTCATTAGGATTGGCTACATTAGGGGTGTGTGGCCTAACATGCAAAGGAGTTCCTGCTACAAAAAAGCTCTGGGTTTTGACAACAAACAAGGTAAACAGAATAACAAGCAAAAGGTGAGTGTGACTGGATAACCACACTTCTGGTAACATGGGCCTAATGTGCTAATGAGCTGTGCTGTCAGGGGTGTGGCCTAATATGCTAATGAGTTTCTGCTGTTGGGTGTGGCCTATTATGCTAATGAGTTCCTGCTGGGCTTTTTCTACAAAAAGAGCCCTAGTAGAAGTGATTAAACTAGGGGTCCCACATTCTGGATGAGTATATCACATTGCACTGCTGTAACAGCCGGGGTTGCTATGAAAAGTGGGCAGGCTACAGCTAAGACATTGGGCTAGATCCCACAGATCCATTCTGCCAGCAGCAGCACTCTCCTCCAGCACAAGGAGCCTTCTTCCAATGCAGCACCCTTATGCTGGAGGAAATGGCTGCTGAGGGCAGAATGGATTTGAGAGACCCAGCCAATGATAAATTGAAAGGGGGGTTAAAATAAATATATAAACAAAAATATTAAAATGGCAGAATCCACTACCAAAAGTGTGCACGATGCAAGATCTGCCAAGTGTGCACGATGCAAGAAAGCTCCCCGCTGGAGTGAGACTCAAGGAGAGGTACTGGAATCTACTGTTGTGGGATGTGACTGCATGCACACTCTTTTAAAAAATACATTGTCATGAGAGAACAAGAGTTATTAGGTGTTGCCACTCCTTTTATTAAATGCCTGATGTGTCAGATTTAGTCTTTGTGAGATCTTACTTTGAAGTTCTAACAATTAACCAGGAGCAGTGGCATACCAGATTTAAGATATTGGCACCAAATTGCTATAGGTAAAGGTAAAGGTCTCCCTTGCTCGAAAGCCAGTCGAATCCGACTCTAGTGTTGTGGTGCTCATCTCCGTTTCAAAGCCAAAGAGCCAGCGCTGTCCGAAGACATTTCCGTGGTCATGTGCCCGGCATGACTAAACACCAAGGCGCACGGAATGCTGTTACCTTCCCACCGAAGTGGTACCTATTTATCTACTTGCAATGTCTTGCTTTCGAATTGCTAGGTTGGCAGGAGCTGGAACTAGAGACGGGAGCTCACTCCGTCTTGCGGCACCTGGGTCTGGAACTGCTGAACTACTGACCTTCCACAGCCTGAAGTTCAGCGTCTTAACCACTTGAGCCACCGCAGCTCCCAAATTGCTATACTATGGTATATTTTCCATTGTTCTAACACAGTTTACTCCTCCTTCCTACGAACTTTTACTACTTGCACATGGCTATTTGAATCTATGGATTACAGCCACTAGCTTATTCTAACTACCTTTTATCTAAGTGACCCCAAACATTTAAAAACACACACTAATGTAACTATTGAAGTTACTATCTCACCACACACACACCACAAAAAGACACTCCAGCCTTTCAGGCCTTTAAAAAATTACTTTGGAGGCAATGATTACTGGGGCAACAAGGGAAAAGACTGTTTCCCTCCCTTTGCTCCTCTAACTTTTAAAATTATACAGAGGCAGTATTTGTATTGGATTCTACCACAGACTTGCTCAAAATTACGATTCGATTTTGCCTCTGAACCAAACATTCAGTCTCCAAACACCAGCTATCAGATTTTAATAAATTCAGGTTTTATGCCAATAAAGGTACTGTATTTGTATTTGTTTGTAATAAATTCAGGAGTTATAATGCTATGGCACCTTTAAAGATCACATCAACAAAAAGGAAAAAAGAGTTTAAAACGTTTGATGGAATTGTATGTTTTACCTTCAATAAAAATTATTGTAAAAAAATATGTCACCTTTAAAGGACATCAGTCAACAGATTTATGTCATTAACTAGACTGGCCCAGAAGCAAGAACGAAGTCCCTGGAGGAAATTTCAAAGCCACAGATGACATGCAAAGAAGGGAAGAGAAGGAGCCGATAAGATATGTCCCAAGTTGATAATATACATTTAAGAAATGCGAAGATATAACAAGTGGTGGGAAAAGAGGGAGACTATAGCCCATTATTTTCTGCTTTGAGCTCTCCTCCTCCTAGTTCATAATTCAAAATCCCTTTCATATAGATGTGTGCTATGCTAGGAATGCCAGGCCTACTAATATAGCAGGAGGCCTCCCAACAATTCACTTTTATGCCCACTGGTGCCTTAGACATCAGTGGAATGAATTGGAGAGGAGGAAAGGCCTGGTGTACTGGTGTTGTGCCAGTGCACCTACGTTATTTCCAGTTTAAACCAGAAGTGATAAGGGATGGAAAAGTGTATCAGTTTTGCCCAAATGATAGAGCATCCCTAGCGACACGCTGACATCAATTCCAGGCACACAGGAAGTAAAGTCATTATGTCACTGGTGAGGGCCCCTCCAACCTGGTACGTCTCCAGCCAGTTCCCAGGCAATCCTAGTGCCCTACACTGACCAACGAACATCACTCAGTACCAAGAATGAGGAAACAGGATGGATTTGGTGAACAAGAGAGAAAGAGGCGGCTGTGTTTAGGGCCAAACTACACGTTACCTCTGACATGAGTCAGGTTGGGGTGCACTCACTACAGCAAATAGAGCCCCACAGCAGGAAAATATGCCCCCATGTCCATTTCAGCTTGGAAAAATGGTGCAGGGGGGGAAGGCTGAAGCCTTTCATTGCCTGTGTCACGTTCCTAAGCCAAACTGGGCTCTGTCATGGCAAAGAACATTAGCTCCCCAATGTCCATCTGTTTGCAAAAAGCACCCAGTTGGGTTGAGGAAACTGACCCAAGTCATGTCACAGGGAACATGTAGTTTGACCTTAGTGGCAAAGTATCTGCTTTGCATGCAGAAAGTCCCAGGTTCAGTCCCCAGCATTGGCATTTAAAAGGATTAGATTATGTGAAAGATGTCCATTTGAGACCCTGAAGAGTCACTGCCAGGCAGAAGAAACTTAGCTCATCTCATTCCACATGCAGCAGCTTCATATGTTCATGAGCAAATCTGATCTACCAGATCTACTATCTGATCTACCAGATCTACTATCTGATCTACTTATTGCCACACGAACAGGAAAAAACCTCAACAAACCTGTCCCACAAAGCCTCAATTTCTTTTGCAATGCATTCTGATACCTCTTTCCCCTCCCCACTCTTCCAATTATATCTGCCCCAGTCTAGGCAGAGAGAACACAGTTAACGACCACATTTTATAGAACATATGCAATCAGCCACTGGTAGCTCTATTCAAAGCAGTTGTAATTGCAGAGTCCCTATGTTACCTTTGGATAATAATTGTAATTAGACTATGTCATCACTGCAATCATAATTAAAATAATTACTATTAAAAAGTCCCATGTATGTGGCACTGTGGCTTAGAAGCACATACTGGATTTTTTAAAAAAAACCAGTATTAGGTACAATGCTTCCTTTGTTTGTTGTTTATTCTCACACTTATTTTTTTACATGCACATTCAGACATCTCTGCTCATTCTATGTATCACAAAGGCAGGTTAAATTAATACTCACAGCTCTTCAAGGTACGGCAAATTCCTGAATACATCCTCTGGTAACCTCGTGATATTGTTCATACTGATATCCCTAGAGAGGGAGGGGAAAAAGCATACAGATGTGTGATCAAATATGCTGATCAAGGAGCTTTGTCATCAAAAATATTGCAAGGGTGTCTACGGCAGCAAAAGCATGGCTGAAAGTACACCAGATGTGCAGTAAACAGAAGTGCACAAGAAACTAGTTGCAATACAAATTAAACTAACACCCTCTGCCAGCAGGATCAGAACCTTTTTTTAAAAAAAAATCTGTGTTTCCAAGCTTTGAGGATTCAGCAAAGGAATCTGCATCACAGATTGGGGGGAAGCAGAAATCACTTTGCTAGTGGAGAAGGTACATATCGTATAGTTTTCAAAAGCACCGGTTTCTTGCATAAATGAAGGAGAGCAGACGCTGCTATGTACAACCCACAGCTTACCTGCATCACATCAGACTGCTGCTCCTTCTGTTTTAGCTGCAGCTCATCACCTTACACCCCCCCCCCATAAAGTTCCAATCTTTGCAGAACCATCAGGATTCTGCTTTTGTATGCAAGCACACTTCTTCAGATACCACCTGGATCTACTGCATACCAGGATGTCAATGAGCCCAGAAGACACTTCAGATTTCCTCACGGGATCTCCCCTGCCCATTATTTTATTTTATTTTATTATTTATTTAATTTTTACCCCCGCCTTCCCTGCAAAGCAGGCTCAGGGCGGCTTACACAAGTTAGTGCATAATAACAATTAAAAGTGACATAAAATCATCTAAAAACAATTCCATTATAAATGAATAAATAATTCTTAAAGTGCTGATGATGTTTGAATAGATGTTTAAGATGGTGTGCTATAAGAATGCATACAAAAATTAATAGTTATTCTGCTCAATGATCTTCCAATGCAAGCGGCTGTAAAGGCTAAATGTCAAAGCCAAGGGCCAAGGCTCTTGTTGGTGGTAAAAATGGGGCCGGCTACTTAGTTGAAAGCTTGGTGGAAGAGCTATGTCTTGCAGGGCCCTGATCTCTTCCAGGAGCTCATTCCACCAGTATGGAGCCACCACTGAAAAGGCTCTGGCCCTGGTAATAGCAAGTCTGGTCTCCCTGGGACCCGGGAGGGTCAGTCGATTTTGAGACCCTGACCGTAGTGCTCTCTGGAGTATGTATGGGGAAAGGCGGTCCCTCAGGTATGTCGGACCCTGGCCATATAGGGCTTTAAAAGTAAGAACCAGCACCTTGAAGCAAATTCAGTATGCTACTGGCAGTCAGTGCACTGTCTTCAGCATCGGCTGGATGTGCTCCCACCTGGGGAGTCCCATCAGAAGCCTGGCCGTGGCATTCTGCACTAGCTATAGCTTCCAAATTTCCGACAAGGGCAGTCCCATGTAGAGAGCATTACAGTAGTCTAGTCTCGAGATGACCATCGCGTGGATCACTGTTGCCAGGTCATTGTGGTCAAGGAAGGGAGCCAACTGCTTAATCAGCCGAAGATGGTAAAATGCCGCCCTGGCAATGGCTGCTACCTGGGCCTCCATTGTTAAGGAGGCATCCAAGAGCACTCCCAAGGTCCTAACCTCCAGCGCTGGCACCAACGGTGCCCCATCGAAGGTCGGGAGTGGGATCCCTACCCCCAAATTGCCCTGACTCAAGCACAGGACCTCCGTCTTCGTCGGATTCAGTATCAGCCGGCTCAGTCTAAGCCAACCAGCCAAGGCTTGTAGAGCCTGGTCCAGATCTTCCGGTCCGGACTCGGACTGGCCACCCAACATCAGATAAAGCCAGGTATCATCAGCATACTGGTGACAACCCAGCTCATGCCTCCGGGCAATCTGGGCAAGGGGGTGCATATAGATGCTGAATAGCATCGGGGAAAGCACTGCCGCTTGAGGCACTCCACAATCCAGTGGGTGCCTCCTGGACTGCTGTTCCCCTAGTGCCACCCTTTGTCCCCGACCTTGGAGAAAGGAAGCAAGCCATTGCAAGGCAAGCCCCTGAATCCCTATGTTATACAATAAAATCCATTACTTCCTGCTTTTCACTAAACTGCCATTCACTGTTGCATCCTAACTGGATTGTACTTTTCCAAGTTTGCTGCCGCTTTGAAAGTTTTGTTGGGTAAACAATAATGGACAGTTTGGCAATTTCAATATAGTGGCAAGCTACAGTTTGGAAAAAAAACCCAGGAAGTAAAGAGTTATCATAAACATGCATTATTGTAGCAGAAAACCATGATTTGCTATCACATCAGCCTAGGGCCCCAAGGCATTTGCCTATAGGCTGCTCTGTTCCCGCATAGAGCTGTAACATGCATGCTCCTTGGATGGCAGTCTTGAAAGATGTGTTTTAAGTCACACGGGGACTTAAAGCATTCTACTAAAACTGCTCTTGTATTTCTACTTGCTTTAAGTGTGACCACCCAGCATTCATAGCACACTGCCAGCCTCCCCCATCCAGTATATAAATGAATGCATTGAGAACTCACTTTTAAAAAAAAGAAAAGGCAAGTGAGGCTTCTGAGACAGCTGACAAGAACAGCAGGAACATGCCTCAGCTCTACCACAGTCGTACTTTTCTGCAAAAACCTATAAAAAGTCCTCAAGCTAAGAGTTTTAAGGAGATTTCTGTTTTAGCCCATGAACAAATACAGACAAGTGCTTGCTTGACTGGTATGTAGAGCAATTTGTTTGTTTCTTCTCAGCTTGCAGCAAGTAATAAGCACAACTTGCAGAGCATTTTCCCTTATTAGTTATTTGACAGATGGCACCTTTAGAGCAGTTATGGAGGGGCTTACTATCCAGAATGCTGTAAAAATTTGCTGGGGATGAGGGTGATTCTCATCTGTTATTCCAATTCCTGCACGGGAGTAATGAAGTAGATAGTACTTCAGCAGAAATCCTGCAATGCAATTTCTGAGTACTTTCTCTTAAAAAAATTATTAAAGCTTTGGTAGTAGCAAAAGGCAGTCACTCCCTCTCCAGCAGAGATGATATACACTGATGACCTGCCATTTTATGACCGCCGTCCACCCAGCGGTTTGAAAGCTTCGGCAAGTAGATAAAATGGGTACCACTCAAGAGAGGGTGAGCACACTAAATCCCTGTAGGGGAGGTGTTAGCCGGTGAATGGAATGTCCATCTCGTAAGCTCGTAAGCCTGGAAAAAAGACCTCTTCGGCATCAAGAAGCCTGTAATGGGCCAATCCGGCCAGGTGGTGGCAGTGCAGCGCTATGACTCAAAGCCAGCCCAAGAAGAACTAACGTCATCAAGCCAAGCTGAAATGAATGCCGCCCGGAACATGACTAAAGCCTACAGCTGAACAAAATCCCCGTCGGCTGCAAACGTGTGCGATTTAAAGAATTATATGTTGTCCTACCTTACCCCTATCATTGTTAGTCCCTTGTGAAAACCTGTGTAACTGTAAATCGCTCAGAGCCAGCAGCCCTGCAGGATTGAGCGATCAATTATGTAATGCACTGTTCTGTAGTCTCCATCCACCCTCCCCACAAAAAACAGGAGAAGTCATGAAGGAAGGCAGGGGGAAGACATACCCACAGATTTCACAGAGGGTCAGAACAATGGCCTTGTACTGCTGAAACAATGCTAGGTCACTGCACTTTACTTACCTTACCCTGATTTTTAAAAACAAAATTCTATTGGTGCTAACAAAGTTAGGCGAGGGTGGGGAAGATTTCCCAACAACTACAGGGTAGTTCACCAACAAAATGCAGTAGCACTGTGCCAGGGAAACACCTTTTTTACTGGTTTAAAATAAAGCATTTTGTTATGTGTTTGTTTTTGAGGAAGGAATGGGCTGTTCAGGATTTGTGCATGAATACAAGATAACAATGTAGAAACGGGGGGGGGGGGGCACAAAGTCAGGTGGCTGAAATATGGGAAATGCCCAAATAGGAAAGCAGCCCAGCGTGCATTTTACATAGAGCAGAATCTATAGAGGAACATATGTTTGAGTCCATCTAGTATTTACAATTATTTATTCTCTTAATTGTCACTTCCAAAGAATTAGTGTACTGCTCAGTTTTGGAAGACTACACATAAAGCCAATATCAGCTTAACACTTTCATTTTTATGTCTTCCTTCAAGGGCAACAATTGTCAATAGCAGAAAGGTTATAAGTGCTATCAAACACAGGTAAGAGTGCGAGGAACGAAGTTTGCAAAACTGAGCTGGTTATCCTGGGGTGACTTTGCTGAGGCAAGTTGTTGATGGAAATTAATTTTGATAAATGATTCTGAACATCCAAGAACATCAACTTAGGAGGGTGTGTATGTTGTGTGCGCAGTTTCACATACAACGGCATTAAAGCTGCATGGACAGAAATTGTCCTGTTCTATATGCTGGCTTTGTTCTCTGTATTCCCCCTCCACCAATAACTTATTTGACCTGTATGACACAGTAGTTTTGTTCACCTTACAGTGAATGGAGATATATCTTCAATGTGCAAACATCTGTTTGTAAGAGCCACTGCACACACACTTAACAAATGAAACCAGGGACCAGTACCTGGATAAATATTGGCTTTGTACCACACATTATACACTTTGTAACATGAGAACTACTTAGTGCACATACAACAATCAAGTGTGCATTGACTGTAACTCTGAATAGGAGCAGAGTTGTGGAAGCTAAAATACCACAGTATTTAAAAAGTTTAATGCCATTTCTTCAGCACAAGATTGAAGATGATATCTCAAGGATTGCAAACATTTGAATACCAAATTGTTTAACATCCAAACTGACATGTTTGGCAGAGATCTGGACAGCAGAAAATAGCTGGAGGGTTAACTGCACTCAGAGTAAGGGTTTGGGGGTGTTGGCTAACTTGACCTTTTGTTATCTGGACACCAATGCTCTAGTTTTAGTAAGGACAGCAAAGGAACAGCAGGACAGAAAAAGAAGGGAGGAGAAAGCTTAACAGACATCATTGTATCCTGTACCATTCACACTTTCCTATTTGTATTTAGATACAGTAAGTGCCAAATGCACAAGAGGTACCATGAAACTGTGAATGTTGCATACTGCAGGAGAAATTGATC